TCACTGAGTCACGTCCCCTCGTTACCCCACAGGATGCTGACACCCCCACCACTGCTACCCTCCACTCGCACACGCACATGCACATGCACACATGCACATACACGCACACACACATGTACAAGCCCGTTTCCACTCCCCACGTCCTTGTGCTGTGATGGTCCCACCAGGGCACAGTGGTCCTGAGACAGCGAGCTCGCCCCCAGGACCAGTCTCCCTTCCTGGCGAAGAAAAGGCCTTCACAGGACCCACTGGAAACGTCCCCTCTCCCCGCTGTTTGTGACGTCACCTGAGAAAGTCCTTGTGATGTGAGAATATTGTTCCACGTGTTCTCCACAGCCAAGGGCAGCTTAGCCCCGGTTCAGAGTTTGAGTGGCTCAAAGGGTGTTTGTAAAATACTCGGACGATTTCTGCGTTGAAAGCAACATTAGTAATCGTTTTTATTTCTTTAATTGTGATCATGAAAATAACATGTCTTTTTGTATATTTTTTTTAAATGATTTTTAGAGAGAGAGGAAGTGATAGGGATGGAGAGAGAGAAACACTGATGAGAAAGAAAGTTCATCAATTGGCTGCTTCCTGCACGCCCCACACTGGGGATGGAGCCACCACCCAGGCATGTCCCCTGGCTGGGACTTGCACCAGCGACCTCCGATTCAGAGGTGACCGCTCAACCCCCCGAGCCAACAGCTGGGCAGCACATGCCTTTTGTAACTTAACTGTATAGAACTCTCCACACTAAAAAGTGAAATCTGTCTGTCTACCCCCACCACCTCCAAAAAATGCCTACTTCCCAGAGATAGGTACTGTTCACAGACTTTTGCATGGTGTGTAGTATATTACCTATGCTACTTATTACACGTTCTTTCGACGTTTCAACGATCGTGTGTGTTCATGAAATCTGTAGATTGACGGTTTCTTCCTTGCTACTCTACTAATTTTTGTGTTCTTTGTTTTCTAAAAGATTTCACACAGATCATTCTCTGCATCTGATAAGCCTTCCCCAGAAAGTCCAGAGTTCCCTGTGGACTGGAGTATTAAAACTCGACTCCTTTTCACCTCTTCTCAGCCCTTTGCCTGGGCAGATCACGTGAAAGCGCAGGAAGAGGCTCAGGGAGTCGTCCAGCATTGCCGAGCAGCCGCAGTGACTCTGCCTCCGAGCATACGGGTAATTCTGGAGGAAAAGGGCTGTGCTTTAAAGGAACAGGTTCAGTGTAAATTTTACTCCTTTACAGAAATGCCAGAGATCTTTCCTTCCAGTAAGTTTTTCTTTTGACATAAACCCTTGGAGATTTTGTATTGCCAAAGTGGTGCTTTTATATAGTTTTCATCAGACTCGGTGACTGCCATTCAATTTAGAGGCCTGTCCTGAGAAGCGGTCAGTGTTGCAGGGGGGCATTACTTGAACTAAGCCATTCTTTTCTAAGGCTTTTGAGAAAGAAAATATAAGGGAAATCAATGAAAAGCAATGAGGAATAGGGTTACAAAGGCAGACTGGTTACTTTACTCGTTTTCTCACAAAATGTGCACTCTTTTAAAGGCACTACCTCATGCTACCTGAATGATGGTGTCTTGTCAATTGACTAGAGTTGATGAATTCTAGAATGTTTTCGGAGAAATGCAATAGTATTACTTTGAAGCAGCTCATCAACTTAAACTAGGTTAAAGAGGATTACCTAAAAGAGACCTTGGTACCTCATTTTTAATAAATTGGTAAGGGTGATTTGGGATTCGGGTTACCAGTTTTTACTGGCTACTATTTTTTTTCTTTTTTGTGTTTTGTTGTTGTTGTTGTTAATCCTCACCTGAGGATATTTTGCCATTGATTTTTATATTTTTTAAAAGTATATTTTATTGATTTTTTACAGAGAGGAAGGGACAGGGATTGAGAATTAGAAACATCGATGAGAGAGAAACATCGGCCAGCTGCCTCCTGCACACCTCCCACTGGGGATGTGCCCACAACCAAGGTACATGCCCTTGGCCAGAATTGAACCTGGACCCCTCAGTCCGCAGGCCAACGCTCTATCCACTGAGCCAAACTGGTTAGGGCCCATTGATTTTTAAAGAGAGTAGTGAGGGAGAGATAGAGAAACGCTGATGTGAGAGAGACAATTGATTGGTTGACACCCACACAGGGATCAACCCTGCAACCAAGATTGTGCCCTTGCCCAGAATCAGACCCAGGAACCTTCAGCTCTATCCATTGATCCAAACTGGCTAGGGCACTGGCTACTTTTTAAATAGAGCCCAGGGCGGGGGTGGGGGGGTGGTTGAATATGTTATTACCTACATGCATGCACGCACACACACAGTCCCCACCCTCCTGATAACAAAGTCATTTTTCTCAAGGATGGTAGAGACAGGAGAAGGTTCCCATCTATGTTTAAGTGTTCCTTGTGATGTATGGCTGGATAGACTATAATTGCTGACAAGAAAGGTTCTCCCAAATAAGAATAAACTACATTGTAGCCCCTGTAACAGTTATTAACACTTAACTATAGGAAGCAGTGAAGATAAGGGTTTGGTATATTCAGTGTCTTTTTAATAAAAGTTTATCTTTCTGTGGCTCAAACCTGTGCGCTGCCTGGACTTCAGGACCCCAAGCTCTGCACTGAGCTGCGATGTGCTTTCCAGCAGAGCCTGGTCTACTGGCTCCACCCCGCCTTTCCCTGGCTCTCCCTGTTCCCTCGGATTGGAGCTGACCGGAAAATGTCTGCAAAGACAAGCCCTTGGTCGAATGATGAATCCCTACAACGCATTTTAATGAGTGACTGGTAAGATTTGTAAAAACTTGTGTGATCCAATAGTGAATTTTCATTTTAACGGTATTCTCTTCCTGTTTTATTCATTATGTGGAAATATTTAGTGGTAGAAAGATCACTCTTCCTCCTGAATGATTTTATTGGAACTGTTAACCAACATTTACATTGTTTACTTGTTAGCTCTTATTCACTCTTTATGCAATTGTGAAATTCATTTAAATGTTTGGTAAATACACATAAACATAATTCTTTAAGATTCTTGTCAGTGACTGCTTCCATTCTCACCAGAAGCTGCACAAAGATAATTACCAATAAGTTACCAATTAAATTTTATTTAAAGAAAACAATGGTTAGTATTTAAATGGTAAACACTGTTTGAATATGTAGAAGTCATCAGTGAGTCCCATGACCAGTTTCAGTTCTTTAAAAGCCAAGTTGTATGTAACGGCAAAAATGAAAACCATTATCTGTAATATTTATGTTGTGTTTCAAATCAGGGTGAATATCAAGCTGAATTAGACAGTATTATATTTTAGATGTGAAGTTAAATGTTTAATTTACAAAAGAAAATTTGCTTCATAGGTCTGTGAGCTTCACTTCTTTGTATAATCTTCTGAAGACAAAACTTTGCCCCTATTTCTACGTTTGTACCTATCAATTTACTATCCTGTTTCGTGCATCAGGATTAGCAGGAAATGATGTAATCACGGCTCTCATGTCTCCTACAACTAGAGGTATAAGAGAAGCTATGAAAAATGAAGGTAAAATTATAGTTTAAAATAAGAATACCACACTATATAGTAAACTCTTCTCTTGAAAGTTAAAAATACCCTTTTCAGTTGAATTGTCTTTTATTAGTTTTAGCTATATTATTTTTTAAAACATATTTTCATTGATTTCAGAGAGGGGGAGAGAGAGAGAAACATCAATGATGAGAGAATCATTGATCGGCTGCCTCCTGCATGCCCACCACTGGGAAAACGGGCCCATAACCCAAGTATGTGCCCTGACCGGGAATCGAACCGTGACTTTCTGGTTCTTAGGTTGACACACTGGCTGGGCTTAACTATATTAAGAAATATTTTACTTCTTTCTGATTCTTTTTATAGCAGTTATTTAAGCTGTTCCTTATATATTGCTTTAAGTTAATGATCTTCCTTTCACGGATCTCTAAACACATACTGGGTTGGATAGTCCCTATCTGAATATACACTTCTTAAAATTCCTTATAGTACAAATTACCTACCCCTTTTAACAACAGTTTTCAAACTGGGCCAACCCATGAGTGGACATAAGATATATTTACTGGGTAATCAGCATTTTAAAAAAATGAAAAAATGAGTAGTATATACTTTATGAAAGAATACCACATGTAGTAAGAATGCATTGTTTCCTGAACCTTTTGTTTGAAGGAGATATGGGTATGTATGGGTGTGTTATGGACTGCTAATACAAGGCAATACTGAATGTAAACTAATTGAAAAAGAAAAAATAAAAAAGTTTGAAAGCTACTGCCTTAATAAATCAAATATAAAGACTCACATTTTCAAATTTCGGACTCTCTAAAAGTAAGGCATACCTATTAAATTCTTTTAAATTACTAGTATAGTAAAGAAAACTCAGTTGTTATTTTTTTTCTCATGTAGGTATTGAATTTTCTCTGCCGTTAGTAAAAGAAAGTGGCCATGAGAAGAAGAAACCATCTGGGACAAGCTTGGGACATGGGGAGTATGTGACTAAAATAACCTTTGATGTCATTCAGTGGCTATCGACTCGGTGCAGTAGTTTTGTAGAGGAAACAGCTTTATGAAATGGGAAATGTAACTATAGCAATTTTTTAGGGAGCAAGCAATCAGTGATGAAGATGAAGAAGAAAGTTTTTCCTGGCTGGAAGAGATGGGTGTGCAAGATAAAATTAAAAAGCCAGACATACTCTCTATCAAGCTGTATCCTTTCATTTGCTGTTAACTAGAATTGATTTTCATTGAATTAAGTTAGTGAGCAATGGAATATTGACTGGCAGTTTTATTTGACCAAAATGTTTTGTTTTAATATGTTTTTATTGATTTTAGAGAGAGAAGAAGCGAAGGGGGAGAGAGAGAGAAACATCGATGAGAGAGAAACATCAACTGGCTGCCTCCTGCACTCCCCCCACTGAAAATAGATCCCACAACCTGGGCAAGTGCCCAGACCAGTAATCCAACTGATGACCTGGTTCATGGGTTGATGCTCAACCACTGAACCACACCAGCCTGCCTGACCATAATCTTAAATTATCATAAGATCATACTAAAATTAATTCACCATCATGACAGTAAATAACAAAACCCTAAGTACCAATAAACTAAGAAGCTATATATATATTTTTTATTGATTTTTTACAGAGAGGGAGAGGGGTAGAGAGTTAGAAACATCGATGAGAGAGAAACATCGATCAGCTGCCCCTTGCACACCACCCACTGAGGATGTGCCCACAACCAAGATACGTGCCCTTGACCGGAATCGAACCTGGGACCTTTGAGTCCGCAGGCCGACGCTCTGTCCACTGAGCCAGACTGGTCA